TTATTTTACAAATCATTAAAAAGTTAAATGGATCACCCCAAACTGCTATCTGTATTCTGCTATCTACATCAGCTGTAATGTGAAGTTTTATATATATTTTTTTCCTTTTTGTTTTGTTCTTCTTCTGATCTTTTACGCTGTTTCCCCCCCCCATAATGACGTCAGAGTTCTTACACTACAACAGGGTATTAGGCCCAGGCTAGAGATTTTTTGTTTTCTGAGAACAAAATCATAATATTACGAGAATAAAGTCATAAAATTTCAAGAACGAAGTCGTAAACTTACCATTACAGGAATAAAGTTTTATTTTATGACAACTCTTACAGGAAGCACTTTATTCCCTTAAATGAGAAATGTGGAGCATCAGGTGAAGTTAGACTTTGGCATCGGTTTGATATATAAGGAAATCTTTTAGCACTCCATAATATTATTCAACTCAACTTAACTCAGCTAACTTTATTTATAAAGCACATTTAAAACAACCGATGTTGACCAAAGTGCTGTACAGGAATCACAGTTAAGGAACATAAGATAAAAGCTGAAGGCTAAAATACATAAACACATAAAAATAGAATAGGATAATTGTTTCAATTAAAATACATTTTAGAATAAAATAAAATTTAAAATAGAATTTTGCCAAATGTCCACTTAGACATGTCAGGGAGAAGAAATGTGATTTTAAAGAGGATTTAAAAACCTCAAAGGAGCCTGCTGATCTAATATGCCAAGGCAAGTTATTCCAGAGCCTCGGTGCCATAAAGGCACGATCACCTTTGGTTTTAAGTCTGGTTTTAGGCATCACCAGTAGCAGCTGATTAGAGGATCTCCGTGTTCTGGCCGGGGCATGGATTTGGAGAAGCTCAGTCAAATACTGGGGCCTAGACCATTAAGAGCTTTAAAAACAATAACATTTTAAAATCTATCCTAAAAACATCCGGGAGCCTAGGACAGGTGATATGTGGTCACGTTTTGGTGTGCCAGTAACGACCCTATTGTCATAATATTATGACTCAATTCTCGTAATATTACAACTTTATTATCATAATAGAATGATTTAATCCTTGTTATGTTGCGACTTTATTCTTGTAATATTACACCTTATTCTCAAAATGAAAATAAAAAAATCTCTAGCCTGGCCCTAAAACTCCATCATACTGATACAGTATCTGTGTTGCTTTGCTAAAAACTAAAAGACCAGGGGTCAGTCATTTAGCAGCAAAAACAGTATAAAGTCAGGATTATTATGACCTTTGATAGATATTATCTGTATTTTTGTTTTTGATCCATTTTGGTGATAAAAGAATAACTTCCAACTACAGTGGTAGGTTTGAAATGCTTTTAATCACAATGTCCTCACTTTTTGCCATTTTGCTTTTTACGATGTAACAACAACATGCAGATTTTAGCTGCTTTATCAGTTCGATCACCAGCCTGTAGCAGGCAGGCAGTAAACTAGATCCCAGACAGGATTTGCATCCTGCCCCGCAGACATAACTGATATTCCTCGATGTGATTAGGGTAATGGTGGAAAGTAGCAAGGACATTTACTTGATTACTTTGATCTAATTTTAAGGATAGGCTCAACTTTTTTTCCAATCAACCTTATAGTTAGAGTGGCTCTGGTTATCCTGAGCTATCCCCATATTTATGCTGCTATAGGCTTAGA